TATGCAATATCAACAAATGTCTACTAAATGAGATACCGTTGATGTTTCTATCATTAAGATCAGCAGTAGCATATTGAACATAGCATATTGTTACGTAAGTACTTATAAGAATAAGGGCAATAACACTTACTTTAGACTGGAGACCCTTCAGCATCTTGCTTTACTTTGCTGATCCATGTACATATGAAAAATTGTTTACATTACTTGCATTTAAGGTCATCTATACCATTACTTTTCACAGCTGGTTATTTTATATTTACATTTGCATGTCATTGTCACTATATAGCCTCTTTGAAAGCTGTGTCGTTGATGGGACTTTAATTACCATGCATCACGAGACACAATTCTTAGCGTATTAATACAACACTGACCGGAACTACAATATCCAATATAAATAAACATGACGGCTGCTGAAATATCGCTGGGCATTGTGAGATTTGACAATGTCATTGTAAATCTATGTGCAAAATAAAATAAAAAAACACTTTTATTACAACGAAAACACGACCAAGGTCTGCAATATCTTACAAAATGCACATCGGTTGAAATCACCAATGCCGGCAATGGAAACAATTTTAACGCTCATGCAATTTATCAGAAATATCGTCTGTTACACTGCACTGATCAACAGGGGTTCGTTACAAATGTCTGAAATATACATATTCTGTAGACTTTCTGACACATATGTTACAGACCTACTGATGAGTCACAGCACACATAAACATTTTAGACATTTGTAACGAACCTGTGCTCCGTCGCAAGATCACTCACTTCAAACGCTATCAGTTTCACGCGTCTCGCATCCACGGTTCCTCAGTTTCTGACGACATGTCAAATAACGAGGTTGTTATAGAATCTACCGACTGTTGTCAAGTTCCCATACAATCAACAAATAAATTCACGCCTGGATTCTTCGAATTAACTTCCAAAAATAACTCCCTCGTGGAGGGCAAGGTCGGATTTACGGTGTTCACTGTATTTGTCCATGCGCGCAAATTGGTTCCGGGGGAAAATCGTAACAATTTCAAATCTAACTTTCAGCTTAGAGTTATATTGATTAGCTTAAATCACCCTATAAACATATCATACGCAATTGTATTGATACTGAATTGTGGAATAAAAGTGTTTGTTAAAATGTCAAAGTACTACTTTGTTTGCCAATCAGCACGCGGCAATACACTGTTCAAACTATTGAACGAACTTGTGTGGACTGTCGATAAGGCGGGCATTTTTGATTTTAAATATAAATTAAGAGTTAAAACAGAACATAAGAGGCAGAGAAAACGAAAATATAAGTATTGAACTGTTTTTGTATGGTATTTATGATCTATTTGAATGACACAGCTTTGCAAGCAAACAAATCATAATGCGATAGCGGGCATTATGTTGTTTGCTTGCAAAGCTGTGTCATTCAAATAGATCATAAATACCATACAAAAACAGTTCAATGCTTAAGTGAACATTATTGTAAGTTTGACCATTTTTACACTGACTTCATTCTGATAGTTGTATTTCTAATAATACTAATGACTCTAATTACATAGCTCCTAATGAACTGTAACTAATACAAACAAGTCAGAACACATAGTTATACAGTGTAACCTATCGCAGTGCAGTTAGTTATACATGGAAACATCAATCTAGTCTCTTCTGTCCCAACTTGGCTGGACAGTGACACATATGTGCTTACAATAACCCGCTGTTATCCTGTGAAATAACAGAAAAAAAATCTCCTAATTGATCAAATTAATATCAAACTTGACGGTATGTTTTCTTCCTAAAAGGTGTTCCGGACAATATTTCTCCTTAACAGTTTTTCCTAATAGATGGCTTTGGCTTTCTTACTTGAAAGCATAGTTTTTTCCTACTAGACGGTACGTTTCTGCCCCCCCCCCCCCTTAAC